GAGAGAGAGAGAGAGAGAGAGAGAGAGAGAGAGAGAGAGAGAGAAGACTGGCATATCTTCCTCCAAATGTTGAAAAGATGCCATCGACCTTTTTGGGGGGGGTTGGTAATTTGCCAAATACCCCCATAAAGTTGAGATATATGTCAAAATGTCCCTGAAAAATGGGCCCTGGCCTTTAGCAATTGCACCCACGAAACGTTGGCAACTACCGGGGCATTTTGCAAAGTTGGACGGTGTCCAGTAGGGGGGTACATTGCAAAGATGGGGTCCAGCCGATGTCTGGGGTGTTTGGCAAAACGTTTTTGTCGTCGTCCTTCGCCGCACCGTAGCTGCAGCAGGTCCACTTGTAATCATTTAAGACAAAAGGCATATTCTATACACAACTGCTTCCTCAAAACCTTCACTGCTCATTGCCCGCAGAGGGTCAGGATGACAGATGAAAGACAGCAAACATAGTTATAATGCACAGCACCTAATGTTTTCCCCCAAACACAATGCACCCTCATGTTGACTGTATCGCGCCTCAAACATACCTCGTATACGTTCATTTTCACGGTGCGGTATGTTCAGGGGAAGATGGTAGTTACCAAGGGGGCACAGAAACCACAAATATTGACTGAATGAAGAGAAAGAGCAATATCACTAAAGGAGTGATTAACAACTGCTGCCCTCAGGAGGGGCTAGGAGCAACCGCACTGTCAAAAGAAAAAGTACTTTTAGACGGAGGATAGACTGTGCACATGCCAAGCAAGTATCGCCCATGCTGTCGGACAGGCTGAGTCTAGTAGAAGTAACCCCCACCACAGTCAGGTTTCTGCAGGCTTCGCCTGATCCTTATTTTTTTGAGGGAGGTCGTCTGATTTTTGAGGGACGTCGTCATAACAAGTCACTTTGGCTCGTTTCCTGAAAATGTGGAGTCTGATTCCCAAACGGCACAGGGGCACAGGTGGAACAACATTCAGGTAAAGATCTCTCTCTCTCTCTCTCTCTCTCTCTCTCTCTCTCTCTCTCTCTCTCTCTCTCTCCCCTTGCTGGTGATGCTACAAACACTTTCCTTCCTCGCTAGCCATGTCCCCTGCCTACCTCTGGCAGGGGACATGGAGAGCTTGCTAGCCGTGTCCCCTGCCTACCTCTGGCGGGGGACACACAGAGAGAGACACAGAGAGAGAGAGAGAGAGAGAGAGAGAGAGAGAGAGAGAGAGAGAGAGAGAGAGAGAGAGAGAGAGAGAGAGAGAGTCCCCTGCCAGAGTTAGGCAGGGGACATGGCTAGCGAGGAAGGGAAGTGTTTGTAGCATCACCATCAAGGGGAGAGAGAGAGAGAGAGAGAGAGAGAGAGAGAGAGAGAGAGAGAGAGAGAGAGAGAGAGANGAGAGAGAGAGAGAGAGAGAGAGAGAGAGAGAGAGAGAGAGAGAGAGAGAGGCAGCAGATAAGCAGGGAGAAGTTCTTTATTGCGCCATGCCGGCGTGTTCATAGAGGGGATTGTATGAGTTTCCATCTATTTTTTTCGTGGTCGGGAGGACCTTCGGTACATCAGGATCTGAATTTTTTGGAGAAATTCTTCATCATCTATAGTGTTCTTAGTCGAAAGTTCGAAAACAGGTGATGTCCCCGGTATTTCATGATTCTGTACTTTCACAAGGGACGCTGGGCCCGGTTCCCAGCCATGTCGCTCCCCACGAATAGATTTGGAGCATAGTCTCATTTAATAATAAAAATGGAGCATAGTCTCATTTAATAATAAAAATGGAGCATAGTCTCATTTAATAATAAAAATAAAATAAAAAAAAGTTTCAGCCCGACGTTCGGATCAATGTGTAGTTGGCTCTGCAGTAGTTTCCCTCCATTATTTTGATTCTGTTAAGAAAAGACTGATCTTTCTTGTCAACGTCTGTTGCCATTATGTTTGCTGTGTTGCACTTACTATCATCTCTTCTCAGCCATTTATCGCTTCAGTTGTGTTCGTTATCTGTGTCTGCTCTGAGAATGGAGTGACCCTTTGCGCTTTCTTTGTACCCCCCTACTCAGTCTTGGGGGGTGGCACAATTCTTTCCCCCCCATCTACCGCTACCTTCTTCCCCCGAACATAACGCACCCTAAAAATGAATGTATACGAGCTATATTTTCAGCCAGATACAGCCAAAATAAGGGTGCGTTGTGTTCGGGGGAAGACGGTAGGGGTTAGGAGCCTGGGTACTGCTCCCCGCAAAGAGCAGGGCATGAATTCAACTGGAATAGATAGGTAGGTAGTGGGAGATATAGGGCCTTGCTCCACTACTCTCCAAATGTGCAAAATGAGACTGAATCCTCCACTAGAACATGGAAAGATACATTGCCACTTTTTTTGTCTTTTATCCTTTCACATATCTGTTTCTTACGAGTCTCTTTTCTTTATCCTTCTACTGCTCAGTTAACC